TTCCCTCACAAATGTCTTCAAGAAATACACCCTCCGAATCCACAATGCCAACATTCTGTCTGGAACAAAAATAACATAAATTGGGAAGCTGTAACCAAATAAGCAAAGCTTACTACAGCCAGGCAAAAAGAGCATCCAACATCACTCCACTACAGAAGCAGCAATGACCTGCTGCAATGGTAGAGGCAGAAAGCCTGGTTGGGCCAACAGTTCATACAGACCACAGATGGTGAAGATTTGGCCCCCTAAACTGCAAACTGTTCAACATCTCAACTTCAGTGAAAAAACAAGTTTTCACTGCATGGGCAGCTCAACGCTCTTGGGAAGACAGAAATTTTGGACCCAAACAGGTGTTTTATTTCAGCTTGCATGTGTCTTTGTATCCGAATTTCATCCAATCTCTCTTGGTTACAAAGCTGCTTCTCTGCACACACAAGGAAGCTCCTTCCCCATGCATTGAGACACTTGAGAGAAATGGCTCCCAGGACAACTGCCAGCTGTCTCACCTTGGATCAGGATGTAATGAGACCCCTTTCCCCAGGAGACAGTGCAGGCGAAGTGGTGCAACCTCCCCTGCTCACCTTCCCATTGCTCCTCTCAATGCTAGCAAAGGCTTAACAGGAATATGAGGACTAGGTCAGTGCCTCCTACATGATGGATCAGTAATGTTGCTGTGGGTCCAACTAGACCCAAAGCTAAAAGTGCCCTAAACCTCCAGTGTTGCTCAACGCAGCTGCCCTACCTGCTTGTAACTGGTACATCTCAGACTTCCAAGCCTACGTCCTTCATGGTGGCTCTGACCTGCCTAAGTAGCGACATGAGCCCTTTTGGCTTATACTTCTGTGAATGGGAACACACGTCCCTGCTCTTTGTAATAAATTACTAGGAAACCGTCCCATGTTGGTGGGGTGACTATTTACTCCATCAAGTTGACCCCTTCCCCCTTTTCAAGCAAAAACAACCCCTTGGGACTTTTCACTGCATAAATCCTTCAAAGAGCAACCCAGTGGTTGCTCCATTTCCCGTCGTTTCACACCAGATCAAATGAGAAAACAAACAGAACCACAAGAAAACTAATGACAGCATGAAGGGTGGAGGCATATCTTGCTTCTCTCCAGGGGAATGGAGACATGGCCATAGCCAGTTACGTGGCCAGGCAGGCTTCCCCAGACATCAAATAACATTTTTGGACCAACGCTAGTGTGGAAGTTTTAACCTGAAAACAGAATGTGTGAGTGGGGAAATTCCCAAATAAAACCAGCTGAAATCAAGCCTCTATGCCTTACCATCCAGCAAGGCAATATGGCCAAGGACCTGCAGCTGGGAGGCAGATCTGCCCAGCCTTGCCCGGGACCCAATATGGATGTGCCCCTCAATGCAGATCAACATGAACACGCACGTTTCACAGACATGTGTGCGCTCCTTTCAGGCCTAAGACTCATGTCCCTCCTCATCTGCACAGTTCGAATTAATTATACACTTTAATTTCATGAATTATTAATTTGATTCTGACTCGGCAGCTTACGATTATCCAGCGCTACAGACTACGCAATTCCAGCTTCATTAAAACATCACCAGCTGCCTGAGAGACAGACATTAAATAGCAGAGAGTAATAATAAAATTAAGCTCCCTGCGCATAGCAACAGTCTTCCCCAGCCGCACGCAGTGAAGGCCCAACTGGTAAATAGGTCCTTTCCAGGAGCTTTATTTTCTTCCCAAGGCTGGTTCCATCCTGTTTCCTTGCCAGGAGAATGCTACTGCCAGGACGGATGGCAGTGGAGGACCAGGGGTTTTCAAGAGAATCCCTGAGATGGAGGGCATGGCCAGGTGATGAGGACCAGCAGCATACCCCTCCCAACACCCTCCTCTGCACCCACAACAAGGACAGGGAAGGCTCCAGGGCTAACATCACCTCCAAATAAATAAAGCTGGACTGCTGCCTCTCATCGTCTCCCTGGCAAAACAATTTATAGAGGGAAAATGTCGGAATTTAGACATTCCATTTAGCTGCTTCAGAAATCTAAGGACCCCAAACCTTGTGGGATTTGAGAAATCGATGGAATTAATTAAGGGAGATGTCCAGCGGTCTCCACTAAGTAATCAGCAGGTACAGTAGACCTGAAATTCTATAAAGAAAAATGGGAAGGGATGACATTGAAGGAGGCAGTGGGGATTAAAAAATGAGCATCCAAGTGGTAAAGGCGCACACCCATTGATCGCTGCATTACGGATTAAGGCTTCAACGAGCAGCCAGAAGATTCTGTAGCAGAAAATGGTTACAGAGGATGAGCATGAACAGAGCAGATATATATAACCTCTGACAGTTGGGAACAACTGAGACAGAGGACAGCTCTGCAGTGAACCCCAGAGCAAGAAAGTTTTGGGGTAGGGGGGGAAGGGGAAGCAGGGGGGAGTTGGAGGGAGCCATTTTGTGCGAGGGAGACCTTCCCAGGAAGAGGGAGCAATGTCTCCTGCCCAGCCAAGAGAGAAAAGGGATACCCAGAGCCAGTGCCAGAGAGGGGGACATGAGGGTGGGCAGTGAGGTGCGGAGGAAGCACTTGTGTGCTGGCCTGGGAGGTCATTCCATCAGCAAACAGTTAACACCTGGGAACGAGATGCAGCCCAGGCAGACACATATTCACAGACAACACCTGCCTGCGTTGCCTGCCTGCATCACAGGGCTCTCCAGGCCGTACTTCACCTCTCTGCGCTGCCACGAGCTCTCCAGGAGACCACCACTTTTAATTCTGTGCTCCTTAGCAGTCCTGTGCTTTGGTCTCCCAACCATCCCACCCTTCCATGGGATGACCATATCTGAGCGCAGGAAGGTACCATCACCACTTGGACCATGTCCATGTGGCAGCAGCTTTCCCAGGTAGCTCTGTCCCACAGTACAACCCCCAGATGCGCAGGTACCTGCTCCTGCAGGCTGGACCCTCCTCAAGAAGGCAGCTGCAGCAGCAGCACTGCATTGGAGGGAAGGTCACCAGTGAGCACCATCCACCCTCAGGCAGGAAACAAGTAGGGCACAATAGTGTCTTCAGACAATCTAGGTACGTATGGAAGAGGGATAAAGCAAGATCACCCAGGAGGTGCTACTGTTAAAACCTCCAGCAGGCAGGCACCCAGCTTCACTACACTAGCATCAAAGTTCTGTCACCATCTGGGACCAATACAGACAAGATACGCTTCTCCAGAGGTTCCAGGCATCACCCAGACCACAGTACCCGACAACATTTCATGCTGTCATGTTGGCATCTGGTTCAGCAATGCGGTGAACTCAATTTTCTAAGCTTAAAACAGACCCTCGCTGTGAACGTTACAGCTGCATCCAATGCCTTATGTAAACAGAGCTGCTACCTGGAGGAAACCCTTGGGAAGCAGCAGCACTCCACCCAGCTATCTAGCCTTTCAGGCCAAAACGGAATTGGGATTGTTAGAAGGTTTCAATCAGAAATTTCAAATATAAAACAAAACCCTCCGGAGCCACAAAGCAGCAGCTCCATATCTGCAAAGGTCGTGAGACCAGGGCCAGCCCCCTGTCACACTCCCGTCTGCTTCTCATACATATGCATTGTTGTAAGCCAGTGCAAGCTAAATGTCAGCGGTGCCAGCATGTGAACACAGCCAGAGGGGACCCTCCCTTTGCAGGACAAAGGCAGGTATTCTGGGGTACAGGAGGCATGGACTGGCCTGGCACAGCAGGGAGAAGGGCTCACTCCATGTATGGATGCAGCCATGGGCACTCGGCTGCTCTGGGAGGCAGTTGCAAGCTGACAAGGCTGGTGAAGCTGAAGCAAGTTTCCAGCAAAGGGCTGTTTGCATCCCTGCACGTGTGTGGATAGCTCCAACAGCTCCTGTGCCACCACTGCTGCTCCCACAACCACTGCTCATACACACAGGAGTATCTCACCTTTCACCTCTTAAACATCTTTCAAAAATCTGGTAGTGACCAAAAAAAGCATGCCTGAAGGTCATGGGCATTTTGAGCCAAACACAGTGAGAGCGTCATGGCTGGGGAAGGGTCTGCAAAAACATTTCCCCTTCCCACTGTGAGCTGGCCCACCTTCCCAAGCCTGCAGGAAACACAGAGCTGGGCTTAGATGTGCAACCTCCATAAAGCATCTGGGTCATCCCTCTTGCGTGGCTCTGGGAGACAGAGCAGGTCACCAAGTGGACCTTGTCCCCTTTATCACGGGGAATACAGGGTCACCTTCTCCACTGCTGGTTAAGGGACATGTAATCAAACCCTGGTCTCTGCCATGCAAGCCACAGGGATCAGGGGACACAGGATGGGCAACTGCCTGTTCCAAGCTGAAGTGAGATGTTCCTGCATGCAGAAGGCTGAACACCATGCCTTCGGACCCACCATGACAAGACACCAGCTTAAAAGGCCATGACCACATGAGAAAGTCAGGTTTATGCAGCAGCATTATCACAGCTCATCCTTTCTGCCCAGGAAGACTTCTTTTGTGTCCAGGGTGAACTTTGAAGGCTCTCTCTGCCTCCACATCTCTGCACATACTTGGATCAAGCCCTTCCAGCTCCAGCCCCAGTTTCCTCAAGCCAACCCCAATCTGCCCCCAGTCAGGAGCTGCCAAACCCACCACCCAAGCAATACCTTGAAATCACACTGGGGAGGCCTTACGGGTGCCCAGCAACACGCCAGGCGATGCGTGTTTTACAATCTATGTGTTGAAGAGCCCTGAGCAAAGGCTGTAGCAGATGCAGAGTGTTCAGCAGATTCCCTCCCCTGGCTGCATGACAGCGGGAGGCAGGGAGCAGCCCCAGCCCTCTGCCCCCCGCCTCCCTGTCTCCCAGCAGGCATTTGGCATCCAGCACCACGAGCTCCCAGGGCAGGCACGCTCATCACCACAAACATCCTCCCTCAAAGCAGGACGCCTTCTCCCATGGGGCAAACATTAGTGGGACAACTGGAAACGTTCAACTTGATTATAATGCTTTAAGAAAAGGTCATGGTGAAATTTCAGTGCTTTACCTTGAGCTCTGTTTGTTCTCTGTGGGATGAGATGGGAAGAGTCAGCTTGCCCTGGCTCGTGGCATCCGCATAGCTCTGATTGCATTTCACGGGCCGGCAGCCGGCTGTTGAGCCACAGCAAAAGGCCCAGCCCTGGGGACTGAGATAAGTCACTGCGGTTGCTCTTGTACGGGCAGGCACTAGGCCACTGCACCACAGCTGGACCACCACACAACTGCTGAAACACGTTTTCACTCAAAAAGCTGTCCAACCCCTAGCTGACTGTGCACTGTGCTTACACTTCTGCTGTCAAAACAGGCCAAATACACCCAAAATGCATGTAAAAGCAGCCAGTGATTCCTAGACAGCATCTCCCTTGGAGTCAGAAAGGTTTTCCAGCACATCATTTGGCTTCATCGTTTCAGGACTCAAAAGGAGCCATGGCCAAAATCACAGTGAGGCAGGGGCACTGCAGGACTCAAGAATCACAGATCCATCACTGAGAACATGGGTGACCCTCAGCCACTATGCCAGCCCCACCAGCATCTTACCCTGCTCCTAGAGAGGAGGGCGAAGCAAGGGCAGCCAGTACTTCAGGGCTGACAGGCTACTGCCAGCACTATGAGCAGGACCAGGTCTCAGCCTCCTGAGAAGCATGTAGCTCAGGAATATTCCTAGCTTACCCAACCCCTATCTTTGCACTCTGGCAAGGGTGTTTTGTGGCTCATTAACAAGACATTTTGTTCTCCAAGCTGAGGTACACAAGGACAACCCACCAAAAGTCCACAGCTGATACAGAAAGTGGCCAGCATTCCCTCAAAATGGATGGGCACTGGAGAAAAGCAGGCTAGCATCCCTCCTCTGTGCATTGGAGTGGGAGCAGCTCTGACCCGCAGCAAAGGGTTTGCTATCAGCTGGGTAAGGGGAAAACCAAGGTCAGTTTTATTTGTGGCCAACTGCCCCCAGCAATGTTCCTGTTGTAATAATTAAAGCTGTCGTACAACTATTTGCTGCCAGGGGAGTTCTCAAAAGGTCTCCAAGAAGAGCCAGGAGACAAGTGCTAGTGGAGATGGAGCCTGCTGTACCCACTGGGATCCAGGCTGCCAGGTCTAGGTGGGTAAAGGGAGGAGTCAAAGCCATCAGAAATTACCTTCAGCTGGGATGTCTCCCCAGGAAAGGGCAGTCAGCAGAGGGATTTTTTGGGTGATTTTAAAACTGTCACTTCCAGTGAACTGGACCAAAAGCCAGAGCTGCCTAGTGCTCCTGCAGTATCTGAAGATGGCTGGAAAGAGCTCAGCATCCTTCGCCCAAGGCAGCTGCACAATCCAGCCTGCAAACCATTTTCCAAGGGGAAATGGCTTGAGATGCTACCACAGCACAAACAATTGTTTCCTAATGCCTGCTGATGCAGCTGGAGTGGAGGGCAACCATGACACTTCTCCACTAGCTAGGATGCAGGTGGCTGCATCCTTCCACTGAAAGCCAACTTCGGCAAAACGATGCCTGCTTCAAAGCCAGGGAGGACAGAATCATTGCTCTGTTTTGTCAGTGGGGCCATGGTGGACCCAGAAGGCAGACAGACCCTCGTCCCCACAATGCTTGCTCTCACTTTTCCAGAGCATGCAGACACACCTGCTTGAAGAGCCGGGATGCTGTATTCCCACCACTCTGGCAGTGCCGCTCGCAACAACTCCCAGCTGCTGCCAAAAGGTATTTTTAGCTGCATTATTTATTTGAACACCTGCCTGAGACTTCAAGGCAGAGTACAGAGCCTGAGCAGCAGAGGGAGGGAGGGAGGAGCGGCACTGGATGATCTGGACCATTTCCACTGGAAGATTCGAGAGCAGAGACACAGGCGCAATGGAGCAAGGCTGTGGCTAAGCTGAGAAAGAGGGTGGCATGGCAGGGATCACACATCTGCATAGCACCAGGGTAACCCAGCTATTGGGAATAGCCGAGTACCAATGAGCACTGGGAAGATGCTCTAGCCACCCACACTGAGGGGCCACATTTGGGTAAATTGGGCTCACTAGTTATCCAACTGCATGTAATTTCAAGATGCTCTGGCCCAAACATGGTGACTGCAGCAGGAATACTAAGGTCTTGCTGCCACACACCATCTTTTCATGTAACCCCATTTTTCTGAGAAAACTCAGAGGAAAATGCCCTCTTTCAAAATGCCTGTCCTCTACACAAGACCAATTCTAGCCCACTTGCCCTTTTTTGGAGAGCCAGCCCCAGAGAAAAGAGGATGAAGTGAGCAGAAAGCAAGAGAAGGAAGGATGCTGTGAGGGAGGACAGACATACTTTCACACTCTTCTTCCCAAAGATGGAAATGCCCTCAGAGGTGTAGGGTGGGGCCATGGGGTAAATTGAGGGGCACATGGAAAGCAATGCAACACCCCTGCACTGTTTTTGCGCACCCTTCTTGCTACCCCATTTACAGATGTGAACAAAACCTGCCAGCTCCCTCCTTCCCCTTCTTCTGAAAGGATCCCCCTTTTTCTCTGAAATCAGCCAGGAAAAGGAGGGGGGAAAAAAAAAAAAAAGAAAGAAAAAAGAAAGAAAAAAGAGAAAAGAGCATCTAAAAATAAAGGCCAGGCCATAGTATACGCCTCTTGGTTGGGCTCCTGTGCTCACAGATCTGCTTATTTTGGCCTATCTCTCCCCAGCGATAAGGCAGCTAACAGCCCGTTATCAGCCAGTCGGTGAAAATGTGCTCCAGCCTGATTAGGGCTCAGTCTTTGCCAAGGTTATAAACAGCCGTTATCGTTCTCCCAAACAGAATAATCCGGACAGTATCAGCTCAGAAACATATGGGCCACACAGCGAAGATAGCCGCTGACGGACACTTCATTTTAATTGTAACGAGTGGTTAGCAGCAGCCTCCAGACAACAGACACAACTGCCCAATTGGCAGTGGGTTCACATCTCCTCCTGCATCCCTCCTCCCTCCTGCTCGCAGCTAGTTTTCTCCTCTCCCTGCTGTCCTCCTCTCGACTCCGTAAACCCCTGTGTGAGCACCCCTGCAGTGCTGGGAGAGCCCTGCCCAGTCCCCACGGGGCTTAAGAGAAACAGGCAGGCAGCATCCTCTTTATCTCTGCAGGCAGAAAATGAGCAATTGGTATTAGTGCCATGAATCTGGCCATGTCACACCTGATGCGCTTATGGTGTGGCATGGTGGGGAGCAAGCACAAGACCACAGTGAATGGAGACAGTGCAATGGGTCCCCACCAGAGAGCACGGCACCCAGGCGCATGGGTCCCCCCTCCATGGAGCATCCCAGCGTTTCCTTGCTGCTTGCCCGCGTGCCAGCTCAGCAGCAGGCAGGGCGCAGGAGGAGGGGCAGCAAACCCTCATTTCACATTCTCCTGGTGTCCCTTCTGTGTCATACTTTTTTCTTCTCCCCCATTTCCCCCCCTCCTTCTTTCCAAAAGGGGTGGTTTAGCTCAGAGAGTCTTACACACATTTGCATTCCCAAGACAAGCTCAGGCATAAATTCATCTCGGTGCACGGGTCTTTTTTTTTTTTTTTTTTTTCCCTTTTTTTTCCTCCCTACCCTCCTTCTTTTCCTAGTTTCTCCTTTTCTCTCCAAAGCCACAATGAATTCGGTGAGAAACCTTGCAATTCCGGCACCGTTGTGCTGCGCAAGGCAGGATTACAAGGGATCTGAGGGCTTTCCTTCCAACTCATGGCGTGCAGGGTTGCAGCTTGGTTTTGTTGTTAACAATATGCAGGGATAAGGCTGTTAGCCCCATTAGCTGCACTAACATTCTTCCCACTTTCTTCTCCAGCCAGCCCTGGCTCCCAGAAATTGCACCCAAGCTCCATCCCCTTCTGTAGGGAAAAAGCAGGAAAAAAAAAGGGAAGCCCCCTAAAAACCAACAGCAAAATGTTAATATGGAGAGGCAAAATGTTAATATGGAGAGGCAAGCTAAAAAACCTTAGGAAGACCCAGGACTGAGCTTCAAGTCACAGACGCTTTCTCAGATAATCTGTATTCCTATCTCGGTGCAAGCAGAGCTGTGATCAGAATATCCAAAGTCTCATAAAAGATTCAGGGCTTATTGACTTCCTTGCCTTCACTGCCTGTTTGTGGTGCTCCTGCCTGCTCCTGCTCAGCCTCCAAAGCACCCACTGCACCTTGCAAGTTGCCATCACAGATGCCAAAGTTGAAGGCATCTGCTTTTGTGTCTTTGCTGGACCAGCAGAGCAAAGTGGTGGAGACAGGCTTTCCTCCTGAGCTGGAGGATGTATTCCTGGCCACTAGCCCTGGTGCGAGGTGCTTCAGGAGAGCCTCTGCCCCACAGAACAAAACCCTCTCAGATGTCCCCCAAGCCTCCCAGCAGCACCAGCCACCATGGTGGGCAGGCAATGCTCTACACACAGCAGGCAGAAGAGCAGATTTATGAGTTATTTTAATTCAAGTCACATTTAGGTGAAATCATTCTCAAGCTGGAAAAAAAAAAAAAATCTATAGCAGGGACCCCTCAAGAGCAGGTTTCTCCCCAGATTGTATGCAGGATGAGCTCTCCAAGGGCTGTCTCCAGCAGCACTGCATCCTGGTTTTGCTGCATAAGCAGTCCAGAGCAAATGTGCCAACCAGAGAATCTGGTCCCAGCAAATTTATGATCAGTGTTACTTGGCCACAGCCCAAAGGAAAAGGCAGAGGATGGGGGCAGGCATACAGCCCTTTGGAAACTGCCATCCCACCACCACTCACATGCTCACTGGTTTTAGGCACAAAATACCAGGTGAATGGTGAACACGGTATAAATTGTATAGTTTAGATACTGGAGGTCTTCATACATGAGTTAAAATGAGGTGCCTGTGAACACCACATAAAATCAAGCATGATATAACCAACACATCCACTCAGATACCCCATTAATTGTATTTCCGTATCAACTAAAAGCCTCACCTGTGCACTAAGACTTCATACTATAAGGCACTGCACAATATAGGAAAAAAATCCATACAAAAATAAAATAACTACACAGGAGCACACAGGTTTATATATACATATATGCTCAAACACACGTGCTTGTCTGTTCAGATCTTGTATGTGCACACACCCTCATACAGCACATGTGCACATACCCCTGCAAAGACATACCCAGACACGTACATATATGCGCATCTGCACATGGATATGGACTACTTATACATACACAAACTATACAAACACTCTACACACCCTACTCAGTGACAGCTCAGATTTTCAGTAATATCATAATATTATTTTTTAGCTCAGTTAAGGTATAAAATGCACGCTCTCTCAGTCTTTAATATTAATAAGTCTTGTAACTAGCAGTTTCTCGTAGCTCCGAATTCTTGAGCACAACTAGAAAGGGCACTTATCCTGAAAAATCTAATAAATTTACAGTTTTATATACTTCCTTCAATTGTAAAAGTCTTGTTCAATAAACTTTAAAATGCCACTATAGAGCAATAACACAGACAGTATAAACCCAGCCCTGGGAAAGCTGTGCAACCAGAAATTGTTCCCCTTTCTGCTACAGCAATAAAGTTTTATATGTTTGAACTGACTGTAAAAAGGTTTGAATGTTGGCAACTGGGGAATAATCTGTCTTCTTTATAGTTATTATCATATTTCCCACAAGACCCTTTGGTCTGTGTCAATCCTTCTCGTATATGACACCTTTGTACTGTCAGCGAAAGCAAGAATACTTAACTTTTTGCGTGCATGCATGGCTGTGACTGGAGGTCTTTCACTCTGCTTTTCTTCAGATTACAGCACCCAGGAATAAATTCCCTGTGACGTGCTGTAATAGAAGTCATTTACCAAATCAAGCTGATTAGGAGCACAAAGCTAAAAAAAAAGCAAAAAAAAAAAACCCACACAAAACCCCCACCAACCTGAACAAACAAATCCAAGGGGATTTGAGGACCAGTTCTCATAGAGCCAGGAATTCAGAGTGGCTGCCACCACCAAACAGGAATGCTGACATCCCCACAGCTACAGACCACTGGGGCTCCACCTGTAGGGCAGGCAGTGTTCCCCATCAATGGCATCTCCCCATTACTCTTTCATAAGAAAGAGATTTTGGTTTGAGATTGGCTCCTTCTGCCCCTCCCCCACTGCCTGAAGGCAAGAGCAGCTCCAGTGGTTGGAGCCAACACACCCAGATGCCTCCTGAAAAGAAACATTTTGGGGAGTCTCACTGTATCCCAAAGAAATCTGACCCAGACCCCAAACAAGCAGCAGACAAACACAAGGAAATTCCTCAAGCTCACCCATTTCACAAACAGATGATGCTTTAAGTGGTAGCAATTTTTAACTATCTCGGAGCTCACAAACCAAGATGAAGATGATTTTTGTCACAAGACATACAGCAAGCCTGGCCCTTGCCATCACCCATACAGAGGTAATCTCTGGAGGAGCTGCTGTAGTAGATGCAGGGAAACATAGTCCTCAGCCTTCAGCAACCCAACACCATGCCATCTCTGACCATGGGCCATCTTTCAGGTGGAAAGATGAGACTCAAGCAGAGATTGAAATGTCAGAAGAAGTGATAGTAAAGCACGCTTGGAAAATGAAAAATGAGGAGTCACCAGGACCAGATAATACCTGCCTAAGAGTTCTGCAGGGACTCAGAAATAAAATGATTGCATATTTTCATTAGCAGCTCAATCTCTCATTACACTAGAGGACACGAAGTGTCATACCCTATTTTTAAAAAATGGAGTGAGATGAGCCACAGATTCACCGACTTGTGAGTCTCACTTCAGTACCAGCTAAGATGATAAATAGATAGGATAAAGACTCGAGATGGACATGATACCACTGAGATTAACTAGCCATGCCCGTAAGGAAGACGAAATTGTACCTCACTAATCTATTACAATTGCTGCACACCCAGCAACCGAAGGCACAAAGCACACTTGGCCTTGTTTGGAGTCCCCCAGGTTGCATCAGCTGACAAATGTAACTCTTCTTCCAGCAAAAGCAACGACTAAGGGTTGGTTAAGATGTGGAAAAGAGTAGAAATAAATGGCTTTTTCAATAATGCCATGGGTCTATGAGGCTGAC